GTTTGAACCTGCCACTTCCTGCATATGGGGCCAGCACCTAGTCCTTTGAGACACAGGTGCCTCCCAGGAGAATTGCTTAAGCCCAGGAGTTGGAGGTTGCTGTGAGCTGTGATGCCATAGCACTCTACCCAGGGGTGATAGCTTGAGGCTCTGTCTCAAAAAAAAAAAAAATACAGGCATTCTTTTACTTGTTTTTTGTTCTTGCAAATTTTCTTTAAGTGTAAAATTATTTCCCCCCTCAAAAAAAATTATCCCCCCCCCCAAAAAAAATTTAGTCCTGTAAATCCTGCTGGTTCAGGAACATTTATCTCCCTCCTCTTCTGTTCACTGGTTTTGGTTCTGCTGTCTGACCACCTGTTAGAATAGACAACATCAGTAATTAAAAAAACATTTTTTTGTACTGAAGCATCCCACCCCCCTTTTTTTGCAAATGAAATCTTATGGAGAGCCTCATGGCCGAGATGACAGAGGTTGCTCAGATTGGAGAGAGTATTTGTGCTGGTGGCCTATCAGAGCCCGGTGCGCTGTACTTCCCAGGCCAGCTGGGCAACCCTGAGGCACCTCCAGGGAATGGAATTTGACAACTGCTGCTCTAAATTAAACTGGCCCTGGTGCAAGTGACTTTGGTAACACCTTAGAATGACAATGCCTGTTCTGCAGTTGGGTGAAAACCTCAGAATGACTTCAGAGAGGTGGACTTGTGCTTTTCGGACAGGGTCTAATACACGCTTTCAGCCATAAATGACCAGTTTTTTCCCTTGCCTCTCCATGAGGCTGTTCTGTCCTTGGCCTGTGGTTCTCACTTGACAGCTATTCAGCAACAAGCCCCCATCAGTCAAGGCCAGTGTGTGATTGTTTCAGAGTTGAGTTGTTTCTGAAGAAGTGTGTAAGGATCAGACTTGAGTAAATAGAATCACATTTTCCTGTTGCTGCTGCCTGATCATTTGGGATTAATTTTCAAACAGCCCTGGTGCCTCGCTGGAGATGGGATTTATATTTATCCAACCGTCTTTCCTTTCCTGTCAGGTAGTTAAGAGTCTTTTAACATAATTGGTGGAGAGCAGCTTAGCATTTAAACGAATTCTTGGCAAACCCTTTTGAAAAGGAACTTAAACTCCCTAAATTAACTGCTCTGAAAGCTGGAACTTTTGTATATTTGTATCTATTTTGTAACTCAAACCCCAGTGGACCTGAAATAGAAGAGTATCATTTGCAAGGAGCCTTGGAATGTTGTTTGTTCATAATCTTCATAGTGACTTATCTTATTTTCTATAACACTTTTTGCAAAGATTCAAGGCCCTAACTGCTACCCACCCCATAGTTCTTTCCATCAGGAGACAGGACTTCCACACAGGAACGGTAGTGGAGGACAGAGAGGGCCCTGGGCTTTTATCTCTGTGGATTGTTAGTGACTTCCTGGAGCCTTATGTTGAGAAGCTTTCTAGGGTAGCATGGGGTCTTGATGAGAATAAACTCTGTGATTGATTTCTGATGTCTGCTTGGGGTATGACAAGGGGATGTTAATCCAGTGAATGCAGCATATGTGATGCTCCTGGCCTAAAAATAAATCTCAGGGGCTCTGGTTGGAAAGAACACACTGTCCTATTGACCATGCGCACTGGTTTGTTTTATATACCTTCTTGCTAAACAAGAAACCCTGGCTGTCATTCTCTAGATTAGATATGGGAAGAACTAGAAAGCCCTTGCTGAGGCTTTGGGTGTTTTCCCTGCACCTATTTCTGCCCAATACAGCATAGGAGCCCTCCGTGCTGGGCATGGTAAAATCTAGTGCTCTGCCTCCCGCCTGTACCTTGTTTGAGGTTTAACTGGTTGGCACATTCTTCTTGAAATGTGAGAATCCTAGTCTTTCTTTTTAAGATTTCAGAACCCTGAAATTTCTTGTACTTGTACAGACTCTTTGATATTTCCTTGTAATTTAAGTGCCAAGAAAAATGGACCCCGGTAAAACTCAACCTCTTTCAGCACGTACCTGAGACATAAGACACAGAACAGAATTTAGAGAAGATTCCTCCTACAGATGGGGGAGATTTCTCTACCCTTGAATATCATAGCAATTTGTACCTCTTAGCTTAACTACGTAGTGCTGTTTGGCTTCTTTTTTTATTGAGTTCCCCTTCATCCACCCCCTCCCCATTAGATGATAAGAACCTTTCAATGAACATTTAATCAGCAAAAATGTTGGAAGGCCAATTATTATGTTTTACTTTTCTTTTATTTTCCTTTTCTAAAAATACTGTAAATCATGCAGTCATTACAAAGAAAAAGATCAGATTTCTCTCATGTTTTGGTTAATTGAGTGTACATTTTATTCTGCCTTCTTAGGCATGTAAGAAACATTACCTTTTTCTAAATTTAACTTATATCACATTCCAACTTCCCCATTCTTCTCAGACAATATTCAAGTCCTAACATTATTGCTGGTCATTCTTTCCATCCACCCCTTACATGCCTCAGATTATGCAAAGATCCTGGGTGTGCTACAGCGAGCAGAAAACTCAGGCACGGCTCTTGGGACCTCAGTTAGCTGTAGTCACCAATGATAAAGCCAAAGCCTGCAAGAGAATGTCCAGTGAGCCAGAAGGCTTTGCTGTTTTATGCAAAACAAGGGAATTCAATTGCAGCCCAACAGCCTGGTTCTGAGGGTCTGAGACAGCCACTATCCTTTGAGGTCTTATGTTTTCCTTTTCTTCAGCAGTGAAAAGACCCCTTCAAAGAGTTTCTATGACACAAGCACATATCTGCAAAGTGAATTGTTTCAAAAAGAACTTGTTTTTGGAATTACTTTCAGAGTAAGAATAAAGAGGCTGAGCCAGGTAAATCGGGGCAATGGAATTACGTCTTCCACCCTTCCTTGCTTTCTCCACTTCTCTGGGTGTTCGGATTTAAGTTACTTTTGAAAATCCTCAAAGACCAGCTTCCTGACGCTGACTAGCTGGAGATGTTCTGCCGGGGAGGTAATGTATTAAGAGCAGCACTCAGAAGGATTCAAGGTATGTTTTAAGCACAAACAGCCTTGACTGAGGAAGACTGTGTGAGCATTGTCAGATTTCCCAGTAATACACAGTTGGATTAGCCAGTGTGACCCTCCCTTCCCTGGAGCAGGTCCCCATCTATACAGCTCTTTTAGGCGAGACACTATTTATTACATGGACACTTGCCTGCATATGTTCTAATTCGGGGGCCAAAGAAATAGACATGAGGTTGGAGGCAAAAATACTTCCGTTGCAAGAAGTCAGGGCTGGGAGTGGGGCCCCAGAGAGGAGAGAGATAGATGTGGGGAACTGAGAAAGGGGGATTTAAGCAAGGCTGTTTGGAGCGGAGGGGAGGCCTTATTTCTATTCTGAAAACTGTATAAAATGGCTCTTTCTTGCCTCACTCCTTCATGCCTCCTTTCCTCTTTCTGTGAAGATGTTGTAATTAAAAAGTTGAAAAGAGGAAAAGAAAACCCACCCCAAACTAAAATGACATCTATAGATGTCTCATTTCTTTGATTAAAAGAAATTGGGAGAGTTCCGGGGAGTTTTCCTGTGATTCTTCCTCAACATACTGTCCTGGTTTTATTCTTATCAGGTACATTGTCTTGACATGTCCTTGATTTGAGAAACTTTGAAGAGTCAAAGAGAATAATTTTATTGTTTATAGGAAATGTAAAAAAAAGTACAAAGAACCCTGAGGTTTTGAATAATTTGAATCTGCGTAACTTATTGATAATAACCATCAGTCCCTAAATTCTGACAGATAACTTAAAACTCATGCCGAAAAATACAAGTCGCATTCCAGCTTGTCTCCTTAAAGCCACCTCCAGCCTGTCCCCCTCTCGCGCCAGGCTGCAGGCCCTGGAAGAAGACCCCCTCCTACCCTATTTGAGGCACATGGCCTTCCCTAGTCACCTAATCATTGAGAGTAGTCAACAATGCGGATCTTCCTATTCTTTATTTTAGCCTCCTTTTTGTTTCCTTCAAAGGATTCATCAAAAATTCATAATTATTTATTTGTTTTTGGATTCCCTAAGATGTAACCTCTCTGAACACTGGGACTATGTCCATCTGCTTTGCCACACTGTTGCCAGTGCAAAACACTGGTTGATTAAATGCGTAAGCCTGCGACTCATGTCAAGTCCCTCAGTGGAGCTGGCAGGAACAAAACCCCAGACACTTGCCAGCAGGGTCACTCGCAAACAAGGCTGCTGTCCAAGGGGTTTCTCTCAAAGGCCTCCTCCCCTGCTGGTGGCCAGGAGTAAGTCAGGAGGGGCTGATGTGGAAAAACCCAAGAAAAGCAGAGCTTCTTTTCACTGCTAATGGTGAGAAGACGTGGTTCCCACTCCGTAATTTAGCAGCCAGGAGTCAGCCTAGGTGTGAGCTTGAGACTGTGTCTTTTTCTGGCAAAAGGTGGGGATGTGGGTCATAGTTATTACTTTCAATATTAGAAAGAAATCTTTCTTGGAGTTTGTCCTGGAAAAAACATGGCCTTTTAATAGCAGACGTTCAGTAATCACTGAAGGCGTCTTCTCAGCCAGGGTGGTGCTGGAGTGAGGAGGCGCCCGGAGGGAGACAAGTGGCTCAGTGTCTCAGAAACCGCCGCGTAAACAATTCTAACACAGAGTGACAAGCGCTACTGCAGAGGGGAGGGCCGGGAGCTGGGAGAGGCTGGGGCGCCAGCGTGTGCTCCGGAGGGAGGTCACCCAAGGCTTTCCTGAAGGGACAACCTTAGCTTGCTGCTCCCTGTTGGTTCCTTAAAAGAGGATTTTGGTGACCTCTGCTGGGAGATGAGGGGGTTGGGGAAACAAAAGAGAAAATAGGTTGTGTTGATTTCTGGGCTTTGGACTGGGCACTTCCATTTCCAAGAATTTATTCTTTTTTTGGTTAATTTTCCAATATTTTATTAGGCAATTTTTTGAACATACATTATAGTTGAAAGAATTATATAGCGATCACCCATACACCCACCACATACGTTTTATAATTTTCTTCTTCTTTTTCACGTGTAGGAAATTTGTTTGTAGGAAGGCCACAACTTTTGTGCCTCTCATCACAATGACCCCAGATTCAGGGTGGGTGTGTCATAAACAGAGGAGCCAGCCATTCTTCAGGCCCCCTGCTCTGAGCACA